ACACACACACACCGGCCGCCATCTCGCCCTCTCAACAGCTTTGGGCTGGGGAAGCACCGTACTTCCTGTTTCTCTTCACGGTGTTGAGCCAGTTTCCAGAGCCTTCTTCATCTCATGCCTAGAACACAGTTTACTTCATCCTCTGCTCCCTGCAATGAATCACCACCAGGCTCTGTCGGACAACCAAGGCCAGGGGGTGAGGTAGGCAGGACCCTGTGGGCTCACTGCTCAGCCCCGCACCATGGCACAGAGCAGGAGGTGACTTGCCTGTCAGTCACTGGCCCCCGCCCATGCCCTGTGTCCTGTCCTGGGGAGGTAAGCCAGGTGTATTTCTTCCTGCCCAGTCTACCTGGATGAGCCAAGGGTCGCCACATAAGTCACTGTGCTATAAAGGAAAAGGAGAGAGTCCAGAAAAGCCCACAGGGTATAGAGTTTGAGGTCTAGGGTCTGGGGAGGTGACCTTCATCCAAATAGAATGATCACATTCTTTTTTTGTGTTTGTTTGTTTTTTGAGACAGGGTTTCTCTGTGTTGTTTTGGTGCCTGTCCTGGATCTCGCTCTGTAGACCAGGCTGGCCTCGAACTCACAGAGATCTGCCTGGCTCTGCCTCCCAAGTGCTGGGATTAAAGGCATGCGCCACCTCTGCCCAGCTGATTGCATCTTTTAAAATTATTTTTATTTATCTATTTATTCATTTGAGAGAGGGACTTTTTTTATTTTGTTTTTTCAAGACAGGGTTTCTCTGTGTAGCCCTGGCTGTCCTAGAACTCACTCTGTAGACCAGGCTGTCCTCAAACTCACAGAGATCCACCTGCCTCTGCCTCCCAAGTTCTGGAGAAAGAGACTTTTTAAAAAAGATACTTTTCTCTCCTTCACCATGTGCAACTCAGGGATTGAACTCAAGTTGTCAGACTCGGTGGCCGTGGGTGACCTCGCAGGCTGAGCATTCGCTGGCCTGGATGAGCATTTGTGAGCGATTCCTCTAGAGGTTCTGTTCTTTTCTGTTTTAACATCTCTGGATAGTGTTCGTTCTCTCCCTCCCTCTCTCTCCTTCTCCCTCCCTCCTCCTTCTCCCTCCCTCTCTCTCATGCATGCTCGTCTCCTGGGAGCAGAGTGTCAGGGGTTGCCTAATGAGAACAGGTGGCCCTCAGACTCCATGGGTTAGCAGTTGTGTGGGGAGTTTCCATCTGAGTCCAAAACAAGAAAGACATTTAAAGACATGGATGAGACGTCATTAGCTGGTGGGGACCCCAGAAGTCATAAGGCCACTGTCTGCTTGTGCTCAAGAAGGTCACCATGAGGTTGAAGCCAGGCCCTTGGGTTCCCCGGAGACTCTTGGTTGGTCTCATGTCACTGGAGGCTGTTCTGGGTGTCTTCTCACTTGCCAGAGGGCCATGGTGTCTGCCAAGGACTCTTAAGCCATTAGTCTTCGTGTCTGCTTCCACGAAGGAATTCACGGGAGAGGTGCAAACAAAGACACTCATCAAGACAGCTGTCGTACTGGAACCCATGAAGCTTCATGGGGGGGGGGGGGGGGGCTGCCATCTCCTGACCAACTTTGGCTCCTGGGTCTTGTCCCCCAAACCAAGGAAGGTAACCCTGAAGGATCACACCAGGGCTGAGGTTGCCAGAACCAGCAGAACCAGTCCTGTGGGACCTGAAGACATGGGTACCAGGCAAAGACTCTACCGCTGAGCGGCATCCTCAGCCCTGAAGACATGGGTACCAGGCAAGGACTCTACCCGAGTGGCATCCTCAGCTCTGAAGACATGGGTACCAGGCAAGCACTCTACCCCTGAGCAGAATCCCCGGCCTCACAAGAGAATTTGTTTGTGGAAAGAATATCCGCTTAAACAAGCTTGAGAACCACTCAGTTCACAAAGTCTAAAGGTCTCCACTTTTCAGAGCCTTTATGAAGGGGGTACACTGTAGTGTGACCCCAGTGGATTTGATCATTGAGCCCCATAGTTTTAAAAGGCCTCATCTAAGTCATCTTAGACAAATTACTGTAGCTGGCTTCCTAAGCATTTTCTCACACCTGGAACAGGCACTTTGTGAAGCCCAGGCTCTTTTTTTTTTTTTTTTTTAAATAAGGACCAATTATTCCAAGTGTTCAAAAGGAACCATGGAGATATCTCCACCTGAGGACTGGATGCATCTTGTGTACATCTCAAGTGGTCCAGGCTTGTCTCTGACACAGCCCAGGATGACCTTGAACTTCTGATGCTCTTACTTCTCCTCTGGAGGGCTGGGATTATAAGCAGGGGCTGCCTCACCAGTGTTACATGGTGCTGGGGGTCGAACCCCAGGTTTCACGCATGCTAAACAAAAGCTCCACCAACTGAGCTCACTCCCAGACCTGTAGTTCTGTATTATTTCTTTAAATAAAAAAATTTTCGTGTGGGAGTGGAAAGATAGCTTAGTGGTTAGGAAGGGTTGTTCTGTAAACACAAGGACTGGAGTTTGGACCCCAGCACCCACATAAAATTCTGGGCATGAACTGGCCTGCCTTGAACCCCAGCACTGAGTGGAGCAGAGACAGGAAGACATTGGGGATGAAAGTTCCAGGTTCAGTGGGGGACCCTGCATCAAAGAAACAAGGTGGACAGTGACACAGGGGATATATAGATATAGATATAGATATAGATATAGATATAGATATAGAGATAGAGATAGAGATAGAGATAGAGATAGAGATAGAGATAGAGATAGAGATAGAGATAGGAGAACATGCAACACTCTCCTCTGGCCTCCCCACATACCTGCACAGACTTGTACACATATACTGTGTACACATACAAACATGCACACATACATATACACATAGGCACACACACATACTCAGGCACACATGTACACACACACATACAAACACAAAGTGTATGTGGTGCATATTACATGCCTGTGTGTGTATGTAAGAGGGGAGTTTTCTGGGAACTTCTGGTGTGAGATGGAAAGGCAATCCCAGAGGATGAAAGCATGCTGTCTGTGGGCCAGATGACTTTCAAGATGGCTTAGGACATGGGCTTGACTGCTCTTGCATGTTGGGGCGAAGGCATCCTTGCTCTGTCCCTTCTTTCCCTCTGTGGCCCATCTGCTGCATCTGAACAAGCACAGGGTACCTGGGAGTGGGAATGTGGCCGGTCCAGGGGGTCCTCAATCCTCCTGGAGACAAGACCAAGGTCCTCACTCAGCTGAGGCAGGGGGACTAGCCATGCTAGCTACCCTCCTGCCTCATGGCCCATCCACTGGTCACCAAACATCATTATAGTTCTGTGGTTTTGAGTCTGGGACATTAGAATAAAAAGACCAGCTTTCAGCCGCAGCTGCAGGACAACCTTAGAGTGAGTCACAGCCCAGAAATGCAGCGTCAGGGGGAATTACAACTACTAGAAATACGAGGAGAAGAGCTCCATAAATGGGGAAGTCAAGGCAATGCCCTGCTCCTTGTGATTTGTAAATGTTGTAAACTTTATCACAAACAGCAAAAATGAACAGCTCTCCACGCTCCTGCCTTGTATGGGCTCTGTTTCAGGGACACGGGGTAGAGAAGGAATTGGCCAGGAGAGGTAGCTGAAGCAAGGGCCACAGGGAGCTGACCCAAGAGACCAAAGGCTGAGAGACCTTGGGATGTTAGTCCCCTGAGAATTGTCAGGGATCTGGGATGTCAGTGGGCTGTGCCTGCTTCCCTGGGACACAGGGTGGGGTGATGTTTTTATTTGTATGTGAAAGGAAAATTGTGTCCCAGGATAGAAGGGCGTGCACCCAGGTCATTGCTGCTGGATGAGTCCGATGTCTCCATCGGCCCCAGGGTCTGGCTCAAGAGAACTAGAATTCCCAGGGGAGCCGGAGGCCCAGCAGTAGACGGTGCTCAGAGTTAGAACTGAAAGGAACTCTCCACAGGGCTCCAGGAAAGAACCTTGTTCCGTGGGAAACCACAGAAAAGGAAACAGGGACTTGAACAAGGACCAATGGTCTTGGGATGGGACTCGGCACCCCAGCCAGGATGCGGGTTGTAATAAACTGGGTAGAGGCTACAGATGTCAGAGATGTTGGAAGAGTCTACAGTGTGCCTGCTCTCTGGTTTCTTCTCCTTTTAAAGATTATTTTCTTTCTCATGATGTGTCTATGTGTGGGTATTTGCATGTGAGCATGGTGCCTACTGAGACCTCAGATGCCCCAGAGTGGGAGTTACAGGCTGCTGTGAGCTGCCCGGGGTGGGCACAGGGAGCCTAACCTGGGTCCTCTGCAAGATCAAGTGCTCTTCACCACAGAGTCATCTCTCCAAGCCCGGTAGGCCTGTCCCAACCTAAGCAGTTGTACCCTGTCCCTGCCCAAGGCCACAGGCAAGTGCTTGGGCTGTGTTCTCTTTCAGCAACCAGCGAGGTTCTCGCCATGGCTGTCACTGTCTGGTCCCTGGACATGGAGGTGAGTGTGGCACAGAGTGAAACTGAAGAGGAAACTGTGTCAGGCATACTACAGTCCCTGGAGCCTCACATCACACTCCCCGCATCCAGTCCCTAACACCCGACAACCCTTACCTTCTCCTTAGTGTATCCTCTTCCCCGTCCTGTCTCTATCCTAAAATGACCCACAAAGGACAGGGACAAGGCCACCCAAAAGTGTTGTGCTGGCCTGGAAAAGACTCGAGAGCACAGAGCTTGGAGCCAGGCCATCCCGATTCAAGGACTGTCTCTGCTGATGACTGGCCCTGTCTCCTGGGGCCTTGCTTTCCTCATTTGGAAAATGACATTAATAGTAATCCGGGTCTCACAAAACTCGTGGTGGGGGCTGAGTGGAGGATGAAGAAGGCGTCTCACGTGACCTGGCCAGCCCTGCTGAGCATAGCCTAGCGTAAGGCCCTGCTGGGGGTCCCTCACTGACTCTGAAGGATTCCCCACCCCTCCTTCCCATGCCCCAGCTAATCACTGCCCAATGTCCTGCTCACCACCAGAGTTCACTCAACACACACCAGTGCTTTTTTTTTTTTTTTTTTTTTCAGTTGCAGCTTTTACTTCAATTTGAAGCAGATGGTTGCACACAGATGTGAACAGCTTTGGCCTCTGTAGCACATGGAGCAGGCGTTGGCTTTGAACGTGCCCCCTCCCCCACACACTGGCCCATTCCCCTGGTCCCTTCCTCCCTAAGTCCAAAGGTAGCTGACCTACAGCAGGGTTACTGCTGTCTTGTGTGCTAGCCTGAGCCCGGCCGCGGGTGAGCACCTGGCGGGGTGGGCTCTGGGAGCAAAGACCCTCGGACAGGCTGTCTCGGGGCATGTCCTGGGTGGGGTATGGACAATACTGCTTCTTCACTGGACCCCTTTCCTCCCTGCTCAGGAGGCCTGGAGTCCAAGAAGGAGCCGGGACCCAAAGAGTATCAGGCATGGCGTCAGAGGCCTGGATGGCTAACGGGAAGAGACAAGGATCTCAGACCCCACCTTCCACAGCCTGCCCGGCACAGCCCTAGAAAGCCTGTCTGTCGTGCACCCAGCCAGCTCGGGGTCCAGCACGGACAGAGCACTGGCCCAGAGGGTTACGTGCTTCTGAAGGTCACCGAATGTCCGCTCCTTGCATGAGTTCCTGGCAGAAGTGCTGATCCGTCTTTGGCTTGAGGTGGACTTGGTCGGGCAGCAATGGTGTGGTTAGTGCTGTCGGGGCTTCATCCTGTACTTTCCTCAGACAATCTCTGTAGAATCTTTGGCAATAGTCTGCCCCGCCAGTCAGAAGGCAAAATCTGAAGTAACCCTGGACGGCTGGAGGACGGCAGGAGACCGAGAGGGAGGCAGGCTGCCCTTGCCCTGGTCCTGGGTGACCCTGAGAGCCAGTTAAGTGGGCTGAGTATCTGGCAGCATCTTGGAGAAGACAGGGAATGAGGCTGACTGTCTTTCTCCTCAGGCCCAACTGGGAAGAGACCCACAGCAGTGTCCGTGGTCTAGCCTGTGGCAGGTCACTCCTGAAATATAAAAAAAAGAAAAGAAAGAAAGAAAGAAAAGAGATTATCAGCAACATCCCCTGTTTACCCTGAAGCGGGATGCTAACACTCACAGAACATTCTGGAGACATTAACTGAAACACTGCCTGGGTGGGATGGGTTTAAAGATTTAGACCTGACTAGCTCTCCCCAAAGCACACACTGCCCCCCTTCTCTCCACCTCCACGAACTGCTACACTGAGGAAGTCCAAGCCCTTTTAAGCTCAGGGACACCTGGCACTGACATCATGAACCCCAGATCCACACCTTTGAGGGACATCAGAGTCAATCCTGCTACTATGGGGTGCTGGAATGGGTAAACGGTGCGCCTTCCCTGGTTTCCAAGGAAATAGGTGTCTGTCCAGGACTTTTACCATCTCCCCACCCTGTTCAGACAAGAGCATGCCACAAGTCCTGAGGCCAGTCAGCCACCAGCCAGGTGACCTGACAGTCACTTCTCCAGTTCTAGGTCTCTACCTCTGACAGATGGCTCATATGAAGGACATCAAGAATTTTGCCCCCCCCTTTTTTTTCTAAGTGGAAATGAGAATGGACCCGTAGAATCCTAACCCAGAAAACAAATCAGCAGAGTTCTGTGATTCTAAACATCATGAGGTGGAGACACACAGGGACCCAAGAGTCCTACTGTGCTGTGTCACCTTCCCTGAGGAACCTGGGACAATCTTGAGAACCATGAGTTAGTGGGTCAGGCCATCTCTAAGTCCCAAGCTTCCATGAGGGGCAGAAGAAAAGGACAAGCCAAGGACACACTGGGCATCAGCGTGTGTGTGTGTGTGTGTGTGTGTGTGTGTGTGTGTGTGTGTGTGTACGTACGCGTGCCTGCGTGTGTGCGTGCATGCGTGTGCGTGTGCGTGTGTGTGAAAATGAGTGTAGAGGCACATGAAGGTTCCAAGAGTCTACCCGGAACAAGGGAAAACTACGCGGACACCTTGGTGCAGCTCCCGGTTCTGCAAGACTCCTGAACAAGCAGCTCACGCTGATGTTAAAGCAAACCATCCGTCAGGTACCACTGACAGGTCAGGATCCTCCTCACATCCTGAGTCAAGGGTGAGCCACGCAGGGCGTGGAGTGAGTGCTACACACCGGCAGTACCAGGATTTGAACCCAGATCAGCCCTGTTTCTCCTACCAACAGAAGCTGCTCCGGCTGAAGCCTGGCTTTGGAGAGCAAGCAGGAAGGAGCCAAACCATGAGGCTGGAGAGCTGCTAACCACAGACCCTTGTATGTCTTGCCTTGGAGGCCCCAGGACGTTGGTAGGAACACAGCCAAGATGTGGTCCAAGTTCCAAAATAAGAGTCTGGAGCCAGGCTGGATGCAGGGTCCAAGGAGGATGAGTGAGCCAGGCCATGGGGGAGGAAAGCTGTCCAGCTAACAGTGGACAGCAAAGAGAAAGGAAAAGTGAGAGACCGGCAGGATTTTGATGTGGTAAATCCCAGGCTTGCATTCTTCCAGCCATTGTGCATGGCTGGCCCCAACAGAGATCTGCTTTTTGTTACTGAGTCTGAGGAGAAGGATTAAGAAGCGGAAAGGAAACCCATGGGGATGGCACTGGGTCTGTGGTCCACAGCATGGTTTATGGCCACGTCATTCCAGCGCTGGCTGCCTGGGCGGGTCCTGCCATGAACTGGGCCTGGAGCCCCTTCTCATCCAGCTTGACTGTGGTCTGGAGACGGAGTGAAGGGCTGGAACCATTCTAGCCACACTGCAAAGGTGGCCAGGGCAGCCCGGCTCCAGCTACAAGCCCTGCTAGCTGTCAGACTGAGTTGACGACGGATGCCCAGCTCTGAGCATCCTACTCCAGGCCAGCAAAGGATGCTGACTGGGCTAGCTTCAGTCTTCAGTTGGCTTCTTCCTCTGGACCAATCAGCTGTGGCAGAGGGCAAAGGAGCACACACAGTGGCATCCGGTTGCGTCTGGCTATTCCAGCATGCCTGGTCTGATTGCTGCGATCTGGTCAGTATGGCCAACGGATGAGATCATCACAAACAGACGTTACCCCTGTCTATTCATGGTGTGTGTGTGTGGGGGGGGGTCAGAACATCAGCCCCGTGGGGGCCCGTGGGCAACTCTGTTCACTGAGGTCGCCCAGGTCCCAGCCCAACTCCAGCTGCCAGCACCATCTCTGTAAGAACAGAACAAACACAACTCCTCTCAGCCGCCGGCTCCGGGGTATCGCAGCTCTCTCGTACCACAGGATCATCCTCCAGTCTCAGCTGGAACATGGAGCATGTGTGTAGCTATGACTGTCCTTTGGGGAACTTTTTTCCCCGTAAGCTAGAGCCACCTCAGCCAGCTCACCTGTCACCTCAATTTGCTTCTCCTTCTCCCCTCTGCTACTGTGTGTCTCTGGCCTGAAGTCCTTCGCTTTCCTCTCTCGATCACCTGGGTCACGCAGGGTCACTGAATCACTTTGTGGACATCGAACACTGAGTTCAGGCTAGTGAGATGGCACCGAGAGAGAAGGTGCTTGTCACCAGGCCTGATGACCAACCCGAGTCCACTCCCAGAAACTGAGTGTTGACAAGAGAAAACTGACTCTCACAAGCTGTCCTCTGACCTCCACAGGTGCCACTGCAACACACACACACACACACACACACACACACACACACTAGTTGACTTATAGGTGTGAATGTCTTGCCTGCATGCATGTGTGTGCACCACATGTGGGCCTGGTGCTCACAGCGGCCAGAGGAGGCATTGGATCGCCTGGAACTGGCGTTACGGACTGTTGTGAGTCACCCCGTGGGGGCTGAGAACCAAACCCAGGTCCTCTGTGCGAGTAACCAGTGCTCTTAGCCACTTGGCCATCTCTCCAGTCTCCATCTCCCTCCTAAGTTTTAAAAATTCATTGTTCATCTACAAGGTCCACTTTACCTACTTCACCATTTTTTTCACTGTTTTCAAATTATGCATTTTTTTCTACATTTAAGCCATTTGGATACAATCTTCCACACATGTGAAAAAATACCCAGTGAGTTTGAAATCTGGAGAGTCTTTTTTTCTTTTTTTTAATTATTATGTCCTAAAAAGAACAGGCAGATTTCAAGCACCTTTAAAAATCTAAAATGCAACAGAAAAGTGGGAAAACGGAAGAATTCTACAAGAAGCACACTGCTGCCATCCTTGACCCTTCCACATCTGCCGCTGCTGGGGTAGTGAAGTCAGCTCCGGGGCCCGGGCAGGTCAGCTAAGCTCTCCAACTAAGTGTCGGTTTCCATTTAAAAATGTCGTGTGTGCGTGTGCGTGTGTGTGTGTGTGTGTGTGTGTGCGTGCGTGCGTGCGTGCGTGCGTGTAGATGCACATGCCACAGGGCTCACGTGGCAGCCGGAAGACAGCGTGCAGGAGTTGGTTCTCTCCTTCCTCCTGGAGTGCACCTCAGGTCCTCAGGCTGGGAGGCATCTCACCTGGGGCTGCTGAAGCACTCCCCGGCCCCTCCCCATTTCCTCTATCTTTAGGGCGCGTGGGTGTGTGCGTGCTTGCACAGAAGTCAGAGACCAACAGCTGCCGAGCCACCTCACGGCCCAGCTCTGTGCTCACATCTGAGCCGGGAACCGCAGATCTGTTCTGAGGCCATAGCCTTCTGGCCTCCAAATTTCTCAGGGAACTGGAAACAGGCACGAGTCCACCCATCTTTAGCCGCTGCTGTCCCACCTGACCTGGACACCACGAGGCAGGCAGAGAATTCGGGAGAAGTTACAGGTAGCTGCCGTTTGCTGAGGACACAGACATGACAGGGACGTGATAGGAATCTGTGGTCTCCACTCTGTCTTGGCTGGGAGGATCCTCGGAGCTCCTGGGAGCCTCAAGGCATCAAAGTCAGAGGCAAAGCCTTTGTGAGCCAGGAGAGCCAGGCTGGGGAGAATCTGCTCACTCAACCAGCTGTACTGATTTGCTGTCCCATAGCTTGGTGACAGGCACTGAGCTGGAGGCCCTGCCCTGCTTCCTGTCTCCTCATAGAAGAGCTGTCAACCCTGCTCGGTCCCCTCTACTCCCCCAGGGCTGTCCCCCAAAGAGAAAGACATTGTCCTGGATCCCAGGTTAGTGTCTGTGAACCCCCAGGTCCCAGGCTCCTGGATCCGGAGTACTGGATCCAATGAGCCAAGCCTTTCCTCTGCTGAAGCCAATGATTCAGGCCGGACCGCTATGCCACGGGATGGTACAGAGGTGGACTTTCCTAATGTTGGGAGTTGAGAGCCGGTGGCCCGTAAGACCCCTCACGGTGCTGATGTGTCAAAGGTAGAGCTGAGTCCCCGGCAACCTGGGCTGGCACTCACTGACTGCTGGCTCTGGAGACTGATGGAAATGTCCTACACACGGACTTGCAGACTCCAGGGGGAACTATGGCTTGTGTTTTTGCTGACACTACCCTGGAGAGGATGATATTCAGTGTCTGCTCAAGCCCATCCTCCCCTCATGCCCACCAGCTCCCACCTGGAAAGAATGAGCTGCTGCTCCCGACCCCCACAGCACTTTACTTCCCAGTCCCCTCCACCTTTCTCCATCTTTCCTAGATTACGGTTAGTGGAGGCTGCTCGCCCTGCCCACCCCTCCACTAACTCCCAAGGGGCATTGTCCTAGGCATCGTGATCTTCCCATGGCCTGGCAGGGAAGCGAGGGATCGAGGCCCAGTGCCATCTTTTTAGAAAAGCGGCCATGTGCTGGGGAACCTCATTTCATTCCCTTGTTCACACGGACAGAGACAACCCTTGGGAAATGGATGTTACTGCGTCCATTCAGCAGATGAATAAACAGAGGCCTGTCTAATCGCCCTGTTGCTGGAACTGTTGTAGACAGAGCCTGGGCCCTGGTAGTCCTAACAAGTTAACTTCTGCCATCTGCCTTCATTGGGCCAATTAAACAGACTGTAGCCGTGAAGAAGAGAGAGACCTGGTAAATGTGGCCAGGCAGGGAAGAGGAACGAAGAGAAGGGTTCCAGTGACCCCCAACTTCTATTAAACAGAGAGAAGTGAGGTGTAACAGGGCAGCTCTGTTCAGATGTGGTCCAGCCCATCATGGCCACCTCAGCTCCAGACTCGCCCTGAGAAGCGGTCTGACAAGCTGTCAGAACTGTGTGAGATCTCTTCCCCGGGAGACAAGGCTTCAGCCTTTTCCCTCTCCTGGCTGGCGACAGGAGAGGCTGGCACACCCAAAGCTCGGCCCATAGCCTGCGAGGAGCCCCCAGGGCCTGTGGGGGACTGCCACGCCACACAGACGCCTTCTCTCGGGCTGCCGGTCTGTTTCTCGGAGCTCTGCCTGTGTCTCCCTGCGCCAACTCTTTCTTGGCCTCTTCTGTGTTTGTCTCTCTGGGTCTGTCAGTCTGTCTGTCTTTCTTGGTCTGGTGCCCTGTAAGGCAGGGCTGGTCCCGGCGAGGCTGTAAGGCACAGCGGCTGCAGCTTCCCAGCTGCCTCCAGTCCTGCGGGCTCACTCACAGCCGCCGCCGCCACTCCCGGAGTTGGGGACTTTACACCACCAGGCTGGGGGGATGGAAAGAGCTGGGTGGACAGAGCTCAGCCAAGTGGGAAAGTCCCACTCCTCAGTCTTCCCAAGTGGGCCTGACCTCACAGACACCCCGTACGTGTGCACACACCCCAGTCTCTGGGAAGATTCCAATTTCTTGGGGCTCAGTGTTCAAATAGATAAAGGGAGGGGCACCGTGTCTCCTTAGAGACATCCCTCCCCCACCAGGCTGGTTACAGGTTGGAACAGCAGGGCTTGGCAGACCCTGGCTTTGGCCTGCAGATGCTTGTCTTTTCTACAGTGGACAGGACCTCGGGTCCCTGAGCGGATCTGCCCTGAGATGGCAGTTGCTCGTTATTCTGCATCGAGCACAGTGAGTAGTTCCCAATCCTTCTAGCAAAGTGATGGGGGGTGAGGGTTGGGGGCAACGCCAGATAAACCAATTCACACTGGCCAGGAGGCCTCTGTGAAAAATCCCCATCTACACCCAGAAGACACACATGAGGGAGCCTGACACCAGTGGAGTGTGTGTGCATGTGTGCAGAGTGTGTGTGTGTGTGTGTGTGTGTGTGTGTGTGTGTATGTGTGTGTGCTGGAGTTCCATGAAACCATGGGGTTTGGTTTTGTTTGCGTGTTTCCTTATTTACTTACTTACTGAGATAGGATCTCACTAGTAACCTCAAACTTGCTATGTAGCAGAGAATGACCCTGGACTTCTGTTTCTCCTGCCTCTGCCTCCTAAGTGCTGGGATTGCAGGCGTGAGTCAATACTCTCGGTTTATGCGATGATGGGGGTCAAACTCAGGGCTTCACGCATGTTAGGCGAGCACTACCAACTGAACTATCCCTAGCCTGCAAATGCAATTCTAACAGGAGCTACCCCTTCCCCTTGTCTCTTCTGATATCCTTAAGCCCGTGCCTTAGCTAGAATCCAGAGCACTGTGGGATGTGGGGACAGGTGAGGACACCTCTTCAGCCTTTTTCCCTGACACCCTATCAGTTACTCCATAAAAGGAGGTGTCAGCAATACTAAGGAAAGGCTGAGAATGGGACGGGGGGGGAAATGACTCTTTCCTTCCTCTCACAGACGTCCACACATGTGTGTGCCACGCGCCCAGCAGGCAATCCAGTGTAGTGATTGAAGGTGCCAACCAGTGGCGTCAGGGAGTCTGTGTTCTGAGCCTGAGATCCCCAGTCTACCAGCTGCAGGACCTGAGCATGTCAGTTAACATCTTCCTGGACAACTCGGGGTCAAGCCCATGAGCACCACCAGTCTGTGCAGGTCCCTGGGTCCCTGCCATGCATGGAGCCCTTTGCTCCAACACTACATGGCCTCTGCTCCTGGGCCCTTCATTGTCACCTTTCTACTTCTTCCCTGGTGATGTGGCCCCTGGCCAGCTCTGCACCTGCTCCCAGAGCTGACCTTGCGACAACAGGTTGCTTCTGTTCTGCCGCTCAGACCCCAGCACCCGGGAGTCCAGGTCGTAAGGTCTGCACTCACACTAAGTACAGCGAACTCCTGTCCACACAGGGCCCTCCTCTGGATCTTTAGCTTTCACTTTTGTGTCCTTTAGCTGCTCTCCGGGGTGGGGCCTCTGTCTGGTGTATTCTTTGAAGTAATCCTAGGGCCTAGAACGAAGCTGATGGGGTGAACGCCGAGACTGGGACTCATGTAGTCTTAATAAAAGCTCAGGGCCCTTTGGGGCGTCTTCATCATTTCCTACTCAAAGATCGAAAAAGAAGTAAAATTTTATGGGCTGAGGGTGTAACTCACTTGATAGAGGGCTTGCCTCCCGGCACAAAGCCCTGGTTCTATCCCAGCATGGAGGAAGTGGCCGGGCTAGAACATGTCTGAAATCTCAGCTCTGGGGAGACAGAGGCCGGAGGATCAAAAGTTCAAAGTCACACTCCACTAGATAGAAATTTGGAGCCATCTTGGGTTACGTGGATCAAAAATGTACATACATAATTAAAAAT